TCTTTCTTCTTCTTCTTCTTCCTTTTCTTCTTCTTCTTCTTCTTTTTTTTTTTTAAGAAAGTTCCCTTCTGCAGAGGCCATTACCAGACATTCTATCCATAACTCAGCACAGAGTCCTCTGGACTGTCTAGTGGGCAAAGTTAGCTTTAACCCATTGCTAATTTAGCTTGGAAAGAAACAGCTCTTGTTTCTGAAGAATACACTGAGCGATGTTTGAGAATTTTGAAATGATCAACTAAGGAGAAAAGGGTTTTAAAAACAAACTAAATAGTGAGTTCTCCCAACACACAACCAAGGCACATCTGCATTACTTTCAAGCCTTTCTTTCTACCAAACAAATCAACTCAGGGAAGCAGAAGCAGTCTAAGAGTTGTATCCTAATTTCATCTATTAAGATCTTTGAAAGCCAATATATTTTGATTTAATCCCAACCTTTTTTTTTTCTTTTCTGTGAGCTTGTTTTATAATAAACATTTTAAAACATTTCCTTTCCAAAGTGCTTCTCCTCAAATATCTTGTCTAGATGGTCTATCAGGTTCCAGTTTGGCTAATTTGGTAATGCTAACTCCCACCTTATTTAACATGCAAGGCTAGATATCGAAGCCCTATCTAATTGGGGTCATTTAAAGAAAACACCCAAGAAATGGGGTTCTTCTTACATATTCCTGGTGAGATTTTGAAACACTGTTGTCAGGAAATACAAGCAATCCCTGAAACTTTTTCCCTTGGGTTATCAGAGTCCGAGACAATTGATGACATTACATCGGTCGTTCATTTTAGATTCGTGGAGCCTACAAAAATCAATAGTTTTCCATTATCAGGTCCAGCTGGGTCACTAGCCTGTCAATGAGCTGTTACAATTGCTGTACAGGGGTGAGCCTGACCAGTCAATTGCTGCTGACAAGAGGAAAACATGCTGACAGCCACAGGAACAAGTCAGAACACAGATTTGCACTTCAGTGTGCCATCCAAAGAGACTCAGAGCAACGCCATTTTCAAGACATGGGGCATACTCTGCGGGAAGCCTCGGGGAGGGGCTACCCCCTGGTTTTATAGCACAAATGCCAAAGGGCCTGTCCTACCTCCAGCCAACCGTCTCCTGTAAAGACTATCCTGTGGTCACTGTCTTTGTTAGTAAGAGGGCCTATACCAGCCAGAGTTGTCCCTAAACACCATGTTCTATCCCATAATGTATCCAGAGTAAGAGTAGGAGGAAGGAACACTGCTTTTACTACCACCAACTCAGATGTAATCATACATATCTTGGAGAATATAAAAACTTAAAGGAGGACATAAATGGGCAAAAGGCACCAATTATAAACCGATATGACTAAACCTGTTGTTAAGTATTGATTGAAGGACAGAAGGTCCTCCAGAGTTGATATATAGACTCCATCATTATTTATAATACTATCTATACTTTGATTTCAACTTGAGATATTTTACTAAACCAAGAATCCCTCATTGGTGTCTCACTCACAGCCACTCCATCTGATGCAATGAACAGCAAGCAAGGGGAACTGAGTTCTACTTGCCCTACCTATAATTAGGAAGTGGGGTGTAGAGTAGTCAGCTTCAGTAAGTATTTTAAATGCCCCAAATTAATAAAATGGCGACTGGCTTGCCTTACCCACTGTGTCACAAGGTTGTCATGAGATTCAAAATGAAATCAATTGAAAGTAATCTCTGTCCAACCAAGTGACCGTGTATGTGTGTGTTCGTGTGTCTCTTGCTCTCTAGAAACTATCCATGCAGCAAGAAGTTTAGAAGCAATGGAAAGAAGTCCTTCTTTCTCCAGAACAATTCATTTTTGGTTTAAGATAGAATGCTTTCTTTTTTTAGTTGAACACATGAATAATGTATCCCATATTCCATCATGAGTGAAAGCCAAAATTTAGAAGACAGCTCTGAAGCCTTACTGGGTTTGGTGGCTCTCCTTAGTTCATAGAGAAGAGGACTGAGATGCTAGCAGAGTAGACACAACGTCTGGGTTCCTGCATGCTGAGGGATTTCTGAAGCAATGGGAATTTGTGCAGTGCTCTGGTCTCCTCATGCTGGTTTTATTTCACACATCAAACTTTTAAGCTCAAAAGATAAATATTTTGAATTTGTTTCAATATTATGATTTTTAATGTTTCACTTTTATTAACATCTTTCAAATATTAAATTCTAGCCTTTTTTTAATGCCTCCAGTCTTGGGTTTGATTCTTTTGGAAGTCAACATTCACTTGTGTTCTATCATCAAACAAAACTGGTAATCAACTGTATTACTGGAAGCCAAATAGCCACGCTTTTCTTCTTTTTTATTACACCACCAAAAAAAAAAAAAATCATTTTCTTTAGATGAGTAAAAAAAAGTAGTTTTAACAAGAGCAAATTTGCTAGTAATTAGATGAACCAGTCTTATGTCTTCCAGCACTCGGAAGCATGAAATTCATCAGAACTCTCATAGCATTAATTAAAAAGAATTTATGTTTTTTTAATAAAATGCTTCATGTTTTAGCTCCTTTATTCCTCCACCAAATGTGATTATGTGGGGGCTGAAGGGAATTCAGGTTAATATGTTGACACACTTAACAATGCAGGGTCATGTTGCACAATACGCTTCACTGGTTTGGTTCAGTACACCCCCTGACAGGGCCTAATCATCCCCTGCCCTAAAGGCAGAGGGAAAGAGAGGATTTTAATTACTGCTCTGTATGCAAGTTTGCCAGCATTAAATTGAGACATAATTAGGCCTCTGAATTTTAATAATTGTCCTTGCTAATTGGGCAGACAAGCGCGTTATGCAGCATGGCGTGATTAGATAATTAGTATTTCCAAATGACAAAATTGGGCTCTTGATTACAAATTCTACATGAAGGGGGAAAAAGGTAGCAAGCAGATCTTTACAAGTCTATTAAGGGAGAGTTTAGCGATGTTGGTAATTTAAAGTCCATTAGGAGGCAACATTTCATTCTCAGAGCTGGGGGTCTGGGCCAAGGGCCTCTGGCCAACTCTGGCTCCCACTTAAGTCTCTTCCCCAGGGTGCTGTGATTTCTCTGGGGTCTGTTCATCTCCCCTATCCCCCACCCCCATCCCAAGCCTAGCAGTCCTCGCTGACCTTGGGTAAGGTCTCTTTGGCTACCACACCAGATGGCAGGTGATAACTCTGAAAAAGAAATCATGGGATGTAGGAAGGGTAGAACAGAAAAGGGGTAACCTACCTGGTCAGGGTATACGTATCTATTGTGTCTTTCCTTCGCAAACAGCTGTTCTTTCATTCTTCTTCCAGAATTCACCACTGTCATTGTGTCATTAGCTCCTCTAAAATCTTTTTGGAGGAAAATCTTAAGTCAAAATCTTAAATTTTTGAGGTATTATGTTATTGGGGTAAAAAGCATGGGCACTGGAGACTGACCTGGGTTTGAGATCACCACTTACTAGGAGTATGCCCTGGGAGAAGTTACTTAATTTTGCCAAATCTCAGTTTTCTTATTGGTGAAATGAGGAAATTTCCCCATAAGTTTGTTGATAGGATTAAATAAGGTAATGCATATAATTTAAAGCACAATGCCTGGCCCAGAGTAAGTGCTCAATAAATATTAGCTATTAAATGCAAATTAAATCAATAACTTTAGAAGCTACAAGGTAAAGGTGCTGGGTCTGGTTCTTTACAATGCTCTTTACTAACAAGTGAGGCAAGGGTCCCTGGCTCCTTTGCTTTCTAAGAGAGGAACATGGTGCTCCACTTATGCTGGGGGAAGCCCAATGGCAACAGCTGCCTTTACAGTTCAAATGCCCAACCAGATTTCTGTCCATTCTTCAGAGGCTGGCATTGCAGGCAAGCCTGGCCATTCAGAAATCATGAGAAGAATGTGGTGTAAACTCTGTATCTTACTCCACCTTGTGACTCACTCTTCACAGATGTCACTTTATTGCCCACAGACGCATACTTCTGGCTGCTAAATTTTTCTCACAATAATGAGTAGGTTGGGCTTTAGAGTTAGGGTTTTTCAGGCAAAAGGAAATACCAAAAAGGTATTTCAGGCAATACTGTACATGTATTTCCATGTACAGTCATTAAGGATGACTATAAGGAAAATAACAATGCTTCCATAGCTTGGTCAGGACAGTCTACCAGACTGAATGAGAATTTCTTATGACTTTCTCAGAGTTTGTGCGTTCTGGCAGAGATTCCAATTCAGAATGCAGAGTTCTCTCCGTGGGTAAACTTTATATCACCATGGCATAATCTCTACAGTACATAACACCTAAATAACAGAGAGAGAAAGAAAAGGCACTTAAGATTAAGTATAGAATGCATACATTCAGCTAGAAGCTTAGAAGGAAGAGTAAGATACTGTCCTCCTGGATGAGAGTAAAAACAGAGACGGAGAAAGAGTGAGTGATCTTTATGCCTGACCTCTAAGGAAACCACTCCTCTTGGGGCTGTCCCTCTGTTGTTCACAGGGGTCACGTGAGTAACCTGGAGAGTTGATGCAGGTCTCTCGCCTCACTGCACTTCCTAGATGCCAAGAGGAAATATCACCGTGGGCAGAGGGTGGGAGAGGTAATAACTGTCATAAGATTTTCTTCCTCGCCACACAATGCTAGAGCTTCTCTCCCGCTCTTTTGAAGAAGTGCGTTTATGACTGATCGCTCAACACCCTGTTGGTTCTGATTGCAGAAAACACACCTTATAAATATATGATAACCATCCTGTAATAGAGAGTGTGACAATTTACTTCACAGTGCGTTTCGGGCTGCTAATTGATCGTTTCAGTCCAAGGACGATTTGGAATAAATTATAGCCATCAAAAGGATATCACAGCTCATTTTAGGGGAAGGCGTTCCATGTCGCTTCGCGTATGTCTCCAGGAGAGCGCCGATTGCACCCGCGGGCTGAGAGGAGGGGTGGGAGCCGACAGAGAAGTAGGAGGCTGGCGGGGCGGAGTCGGCGGGACGGGGCGGGGCTGGCAGTGGCGCGCGTGTGCGCGTGCGCGCGCGGCAGCTGCAGGTCCGAGGCCGGACGGTAGAGGCCTCCCTTCTGAGGAGGCGGCGTGGCCGCAAGCTGCTAGGGTTGCGCTCTCGGACCCGTGCGTCCTTCCCGACGAGGTCCCTGCGCGGCCCGACCCAGTGTGAGTATTCCCCACCCGCTCTCCTCCTCCCGCAGGCGGCAGCGCCTGTTCATTTGAGGTGAGAGTGCCCGCCGGGCAGAGGGCCCTGCTTGGGGCGGGAATGCTCACGTGCGCAGGGGCTCACCTCCGGCTCGGCGCTTCCCCTCAGCGGGGCTTCCCCGGGCGGGGGTGGGGGTAGACGTGGTAGCGCGGGACGCTGCTCTCTGAGCTCCGGGAGCAGGATTAGCGAGGCTTGAAGTCGCCGCGGCCCCGTTGGGGGCTTTGTGTGCAGTTGGGGCCCGCGGCTCGGGTAGCTCTGCTTCTCACGCCGCAGTTGGGGAGGACGGCTTGTGACAGACCCAGGTTCGGGGCGGGGGGTGGGGTGGGAGGGGAGCCTTGCCCACCGCAAACCCGAGGAGAGGGCGGGTCGGGCCTGTTGGCGACGCGAGGCCGTGCCCGGATCTCCAGTTCTCCAGGTCGCGCCCTTGGGGGACGCGGCGACAGCGGCGGCCCGAAAGCCTAGGTGACGGGACTCTGTCCACCCCTCAGCCGGGTCTGGAGCCGGTCGCTCCCCCAGACCCTCGTCTTGTTTTCATTTCCCAGCAAAGTGTGTGCCGTTGTGTGGTGGTCATGGAGAAGGGAGACCCAAAGGCCTAGCCCTGGATAGGATTCGATTTCGGGGGGGAAAAAAAAAAGTTTTTCCTACTTCTGTCGCAGGCATTTGCCTTTCTGGTCTTCCCGCCTCGCCCACGAGACCCCCAGGCAACTTTCATTTTCCTCCTAAGCTGAAGCGTAAGAAAGGTTGAGGCCCTTCAGCTCACACGTAACACACCCCTCCAACCCAAGTGCTCCAAAGTCGGGGCTTCGCGCCGTGTCCTTAGTTGTTTGGTCCTGTGTCACGCTAACACATTATGTCAATCTAGGGCACGGATGTTTCCATGCAGGTGATTTTGACAGCAATCATCATACCAAGCTATTATGAAGTGTGATGTCAGTGCGTTCTGGAGGACGGATAATATATAAGCCAGTTCTTGACACGCTATCTTACAAGGAAACATCTGAGACCATCAGTAAGAGGCATTTTAATTCACACACCAAAAATATTTTGTTTGGTTGACATCTTTCAAAATGCTGAAAGAGGTAGTAGCATTTATCATTTTGTAGGTATTTATCAATATACTCACAGAAGTCCCCCTAGGAAGGAGGAGGGTTTTGTTTTATTCCTATTCTATATAAACCGAGGAACAAAGATGTTGTGTCCTACCAAATAGTCCATAGTAAGTCAGTGAGAAGGCTCTATTTATGAAACCAAACATCTTGTAAAACTGGAATAATTGGAAAAGTGAGGAAACTAGTTGTGTTTATACCTTTGTTGTGAAAGAAAATCATCTGCTAGCTTTAATGAGAGACCATATGCTTTTAGCACAAGTGTTGGGTGTGTGAATTGATCAGTTTATCTCAGGTATGGAAGTCAGGTAAACATTCTGTAAGACTCCAGTCTTAATGACTTACTACAGCTGTCCTTTGGAGCTATACATTCTCTTTGATTGTCAGTTAATGTATACTGTATACAGTCATATTCAGAAAGTTGTGTTGTCGAGAATTGGGGTGATCTGGATTTTATGAGAGTTCAGTTTTGCTGCTATGATTACAAAAGCTGTTAAGTTCTAGAATATGAAAATGGGTACAAAAAATTCAAGACGTTAATAAGCTAAAGTCAGGATTGCCCTATATAGTTCTGCAGATTTTGTGCTCCACACTCCTTGAAATATAAAAGAATTATACTCAGTTAAGAAACCAAACTTTACCTGTATTCTATTTTGTGAGCAAGGCATTTACCATTAATAAAAAATTCAGTGATCCTTAGACTGTAGGTTAAATATAACCTTTGGGTCAAAACACTTGTCATTTTTAGTAGTTGGTTGTGAACATAGACCCCAAAGTAGATGTGTCATAGAACCACTATATACTGCTATAAGTTAACAATATACTATCAAAATACAGAATCATGAAACTCCTCACCCAGTGAATTTAAACTCTTACGATATTCAAGACCAGAATAAGGGAAAGGGAATAGAAAGACAAGGAAAAGAGAAAGAGGGAGAGGGTAAGAGGTAGTTCATAGGGTTTTTGAATTATAATTAGTTGAATTCATTTGAGAGAAGAGTTTATAAGTGCTTTCCAAAAACCACCAGCAAACGATTTAAAATCTGAGGGAATAGTTCAGATTCAACTCCAGCTGAGACTATATGGAGAACCAAGAAAAGCAGAAAGAATAATTAGCTGAGTAGGATTTTTTATATCAGTTCTGGTCTAAGACCTCAGTATTATATAAAGGGCCATGGGATCATTAGTGATTAGCAGGCATCCAGACCATAATGATGAGAGATCAAGGCCAGGGGACAAAGATGAAAGGGCCTTCCTGCTTAAACTGAATGTTGCAAATGCTGGTGCACTTATATAAGGAAGGTCAGCTAGCAGATAAAGAAATAGGGCAACAGTCCCAAAGCAACAAATGTATTCTTCTCTTTCACCCCAGAGTTAGATTGGATATGGAGATTAACCAAGCTTGAGCTGACACAAAAAGAATGTCCTTATTTCAGCCATTTATAAGGCCTGGAAATTTGAGTCCTGTCTGCTTTAATGAGCTTAGATATCGCCCAGAAATTGGGGAAAGGGACCTGCTGGGTCCTGGATACCAGGGTTACATAACCAACTAAAAGGTCAGTGAACAAGGTGGACAGATCCAATTCCAGATATTTTCTGGGTACACCCTGGATTGTTTGTCCATTAGGTAGACAGAACAGTTCCTAAATTTTATAAGTACAAGGGAGTATTAGGTACTTAGTATACCCTCAATAGATACAATTGTGGAAAAACAGGTGACATGAGGTTAACCTTTTTTTTTTTTTTTGAAATGGATAGTCTATCATGTCTGCTCATCTTCTATAGATTTAAGAACCATCCAAATATTTCTTTCTTTGAGTCTACTAAATTTTTGTCTATAGTGTTTATAGCTTCTGGATTGGCTCTTAGTATGGTCCTAGGTAGTTGTAAAAGAACTAAGTGTGGTTGGTATAGTTTGAGGTCCATCTCTTTCATAGAGAGGCTCTTGGTTTTAGATTTACAAAGTTTACATGTGGACCCAGAATATAGAAAAGGTGGGAAATTGCCTGAGTATTGGGAAGTATCATGTGGTAGAAAGAATCCTGGGCCAGGAGTGGGGACCAGGTTTACCATGTGCCAATTGTGTTACTTGAAGCAAATTTTACTTTCCTTATAGGCAAAATGTATATTGTAGTAATACTCATTGGGTCTACTTCAAAAGGTAGTTTTGAGCCTCATCTGAGATGGAGTATATGGAAGGACTGGTTTATTAAGTACTGTGCAAGTACAGGATTTTGTGTGCCACTGCACAGGTTTTGTAGGTAAAGGTGTAGGGGTCATAGGCCTTGAGCTGTAAAGATATTTAAACCAAAATATAAATGAAGATGGAAACCTGCCTTTGGGAACTTGGGAGAATAGAGTAATTTTAGCATGGATACTAGAGATGAGTGAATAATACAGTCATTATTCCTCCTTTCTCAGATTCATAAGAAGTAGTACTCTGTTGTCAGAGTATTCTCTTCGGCAAGAGATTGATTGATTTCTTGATTTGAGAGAAAAAAAACATGCGCACACGGAGCGGGGGGAGGAAGGGGGAGAGAGAATCTTAAGCAGACACCACGCCTAGCATGGAGCCCAACGTGGGGCTCAATCTCACCACCCTGAGATCATGACCTGAGCCAAAATCAAGAGTCTGATACTTAGCCAGCTGAGCCACCAGGGCACCCCTGCAAGAGATTCTTTAAAAATTGCTTCCTAAAGGGCGCCTGGGTAACTCAGTTGATGAAGTGTCTGACTCTTGGTTTCATCTCAGGTCATGATCTCAGGGTCATGAGATTGAGTCCCACATTGAGCCCCCCAACGAGCCCCCCATCGGGCTCTGTGCTCAGCAGGAATCTGCTTGAGTTCTCCCTCTCCCTTTCTCTCTGCCCCTCCCCCCATTCATGTGTGTGCGCTCTCTCGCTCTTTCTCTCTCTAAAATAACTCTTAAAAAAATAAAATAAAAATGCTTCCTGTTGGATATAAAGAAACCTGCCAGCTTGCTTAATACTATCAAGTCCAGATCTTCAGCATTGGCACTGAAGGCAAGCTCTATATGTGGGGGAAAAGTAGCCAGACTTCCAGGCCTTGATTCTTGTACTCTCAGAAGTTCTTCTTAGGGATTTCATTAATCCCCATTGCTACCTTCATGTCTTAGGGGAGGACAGAAGCTGGCTGGAGTTCCATATATTGGCTAAATTGGTCAGCTGTGAACATTTTTAAGCAATTGTTATTCTTCCCACAACAGCAAGCCATTTTTGCTGCAGAGATAGCAAAACGTCCCCTAGTCCCTTGCAGGCCATTTAAAAAAAGTTAACACTCATATCTTTTATTTTTTCCTACTTTCCTCTGTGTATTTAAAAGTTACCGAGGCTGCTGGGGAAAGAACAGTTTGCCTCTCTATCTCACAGAAACACCAGTACAGATACAGGCAGCATCATTGGCTCCCACCAACATGGGGCAATGGCTCCAAGCAAGGTTGGGAGAATGGTCTGGGACCTTATGGGGTGGTATATACTCATCTTTTCTTCTGTTGAGTTTCAGAATCTACCCTACTAAAGAGTAAGAAACAGTGCCCCTTGTCTGAAGTCATTGGTTAGAGGGATGTTTTCTGGAGGCTTGTTGACTATCTTCGACACAGTGATGCTTCATAAATTCACATTCTGTGAGGCACAGTGTATTTGAGCCAGTATAGTATATTGGGGCATTTGATTCAGACAGTCTGTGTTTGCATTTCACATCTGCTGCTTACTTGCTGAGTGGCTTGGGCAAGTTTCTTAATCTCTCTAAGCCTCAGTTTCTTTATCTGCAAAATGGCAATAATAATAGTCTACTTTAGGATTGTTGTACACACCTGCTGTGTATGCTCAGCAAATGGGAGCTAAATTATTAGGCTCTGGAGAGTGAGGGAGGAGTATAAAGAAATTTCCATTTTCAAGGATATTACACTGTGGTTGGAAGGGACTGAGTAAAAGAAAACTGACAAGACTGTACAGGGCAGAGAATAGGCATGACATGTAAGGGCTGCAGATAATCTGCCAAGGACTAGGATGATGATGAAAGATTTCAGGATAGAGGTAGGAATTTCTCTCTGGGATTTACAGTCTGGGTGGAATTCAGATATGTATGGTGCAGTTGAGAAGCAGCGATCGGAACACACACTACAGCAAGGGTGGGAATATGCCAGAGTGGAAGGTAAACCAGCTTTTGAGCCGGATAGATAAGCATAAGAATCCTGTCTCTGCTGTGCGATTTTGCTTGGACAAGTATCTTAACTTCTTTAGTCTCAGTTTCTACAACCTTAAAATGGGCATAATCATATCTCATTTAGTTGAAGGGCTTAAATAAGATGATGTTTGTAATGCCTAACATGGTACCTGACACCTCACAAGTGTTCAGTAAAATGAAGATAATCCGTGTGGTATTTTCAGAGGACAATTGGAGGGCTGTCTGTCTGAAGAGCTGTCTTGCCTTGTGTAGCCTAGTAGTGGAAAACAAACCAGAAATGTACAGTTAGGGAGAGTGGGGAGGAGGCAAAAAGCCAGTTTAAGGAGCTAGGGCTGTTAGAGGCTATCGGAGCTATCCAGGGCTTTCCAGTAAAGTAGGGGTTTAGGGTGGTTAATATCAAGGCATTCTGAAAGCTGTTTTGGAGGAAGGAAAAAACTCACTTTGCACATGTAAGGTGACAGGGGTATAGATTAGGGATAGTGGAAGGGTGATCAGACCTGGTTGATGTGGTCTCTTTATAAAGTTTCTTTCGTAGAAGGAGCTAAGGACTAAACAGTGTGGAGTTAGAGAGTGTTTTGTTTTGTTTGGTTTTGTTTTGTGTGTAGACTCCTAATATTTAATGTCAAGTTGACCAGAATAAAATTAGTATAGTTCTATAACTTTGGAAAATAGAACTCACTCAATATTCAGGGACTGTAAAAGGTGGGAAGTAATTTTAATGCTAAATACCCCTAGAACTTGCTTCAGCTCAAATAATAGCCCTTTAAAAGAGCTCCTTTCCCCTTCCTGTTAATGAAGATGAGTGTGTGCCTTTCACTGGTTTCCAGGAAGGCATAGTACAGATCACTTGTAGCCATATGAAGTTTGAGGTTAGGACTGTAGTGGCATTGGGTTAAATGGGGAGGATGGTGCTACCAAAATGGTAATTTTGATGACTTTATTTGGTGATACTGTGATTTGGATGAGAAAATTCTGTCCTTTCCTAAATCATTAAAATGATTTAATTAAAGACACAAACCTAGTAAATAGTTTTGGATACTAGGAGATTTATTTATATTGTCTCTCATTTTCTCCTCATCTCTCTCTTTTTTTCTGCCCATTGTAGTTTTGTAGTGGGAGAATACATGGTCGACAATTGCATTTCTAAAGGGAGTCACACTGATTACATGGACACCAGTTTTTTAAAACCTGAGGAAACTGCAACCACCTATTACTGTTCGATGGTAGGCTTTAAACATATTAAGCAGAAAAGGATAACTGACCTAATATTGATTTCATGAATTTTTCTGTTCTCTCATTTGGGGGGCAAGGGGCAGCATGGTGCTAATAGCTCTGGGGTGTCTGGGGTGTCGTAGTAGTTAACTATAGCCAAGGATTGCTTCCCTTGGAAGGAGGATGCACATGCCAAGAGAATTGTACACAGTGGTTGGCAAACACAGGAAGGAGATAAATGACAAAGGAAAACATAGGCCCTGTAAGGTTAGAGGCAAAACAAGCTGGCTTAGTCCTGTTGCTTCTGAGCAGGGGCAAGGAGTGTATTTCTTTTCTCATCTCTTGAGTTTATTTAAATTATCTGTTGGTTTGGGGGTGGAAAGAAAGTATGATGTTATAAGGCTGATTAATATTAAGATGCCAACATGCGGATTATATCCAGCTCCGGACACTCCTTTTCACTCCAGCTTAGAAACCGAAGACTACAAAAGAAACCTGTTCTAAGGGAAGGAAGGAGAGAAAGCAAAAGACATTTCCCTACTTTTTCAACGAGAGGTGTTTTTGGAATATATATTATTTTTGGATTTTTGGTATCCATGCCACCCTAACAGATCATCTAAAGTAGCTCCTGGGGACGCCTGGGTGGCTCAGTCGTTAAGCGTCTGCCTTCGGCTCAGGTCAGGATCCCAGGGTCCTGGGATCAAGCCCCACATGGGGCTCCCTGCTCAGGGGGAAGCCTGCTTCTCCCTCTCCACTCCCCCTGCTTGTGTTCCCTCTCTTGCTGTGTCTCTGTCAAATAAATAAATAAAATCTTAAAAAAAAAATAAAGTAGCTCCTGGCTGAAAACTGCCAGGGGGTTTGAAGCAGGGGTGGGTTGCATTGGGCAGGGGTATTCAGGGTGCTGTTGTCATTAATTTTGCCGAAAGAGCCTCATCAGAGACCAATTCTCCCCTCCTTGGTGGGTGGCACCGAGCCTTGGAGGGGGCCTCCACACAGATTCCAGCCTTGCCCCCTCCTCCAACCCTTCTGCCTTCTCCTGCAGTGGGACTTCTCTCTCTCTTCCCCTTTTTTTCAATTAAATGAATTAATTACCAGGCATTTAACTTTTTGCCAGACTCTTTCATTATGCCCAGAGTTGTTGCTGAGCGGCAAAGGGAAGTAATAACATTCGCAGTGAGGGGCAAATCCTGTTAATGAACAAATTAAAGTTCAAACAGTGATTCAAGTTCACAACCTCTCCGTGGCTCTTCTCTTTAATAAGAGTTATACATGTTACTTTCCTGCTCTTTTCTCCCTTTTATTACTTTTTAAGCTTTTCATCAACACTGCCGGGGCATATTTGAGGCTCCCAGCCTTTCAGCCCTGACAAGGGCTGGAGCAGTTATAATCCCATCTTAATTTGGCAACTTTTGTAAAACACATAAAGGGCCCAGGGCCACCTTTGGTCACCAGGACTGGGTGACCATATAGCTTCCACCTCCTGCCAGGGTTCTGTGGGCTGCTCCTCTCCCTAGGAATTCTTCCAGCTGTCAGGATCTGATCACTCACCTTCCTGGCCCCCAGGCACTGCTTTGCTGAGCGAGTGAGATGCAACTGTCTGAGCCCTTGCCCTTCTGTGTTCCTTCTCCTATCATCCTCTCCACCTGCCTGGTTGCAGCGCTAGGGAGAAGGGGACTCTGTGAGAAGAGGGAGGAGTCTCCGGACTAAAAGCTGGGAACCTGTATGGGGAAAGAAGTTTGAGGTAGGAAGGATGCCTGATCCCCTCCTGACCACCATTATTACCAAGTGCTGCTAACTTCACTTGGGGCACCGTGCCTGCAAAGGCACTGAAAGGCCCAGCCTCATTGGCCCAAACCAGAGCAAGGCAGGGGCCTGGGTGGGAAGGAGCCCGGGAAGCGTCAGGTGCCCGCCTACTTCTCTTCCCTCTTTTTTCCCCTCCCCATACTGTGGATTGCGTGGGGGTCTTTTCCATCTCCGTGCCTGGCTTCTCACCACCATCTTCTGAGCGTGGTGGCTTGATATAATCACCATGACAACTGCAATCTACGAGCATACACATAATAGAGATGAAATAGACAAAAGATTAGCATGCCATGAAAAGTACAATAAGTTTCTTATTTAGCATTTAGATAACTGTCTTTCCTTCGGAGCAAGCTTCAAAGTTGAAGCCAGTTTAGACCAAGAGGATTAATTCTTTCTCCCGCATGCTTCATTGAATCTCTCATTACCAAACTTTGTCTGTATTGATGTAAGATTTGATTGAAGATTAGAGCATTTAGCAAATCTTGCTTTTCTGCATGTATCAGGTCCTTTCAAGCACGGATCGCAGTGCCCAGTGGTCAATACCCTTACTTTTATCCAGTGTCTGCTTCATTTAAACTTAATCAACTCCATCAACGAACTGGAACAGGGAAACGTCCCTGCGGTAAGAATGTTGTGCTTTTGTGGGATAATTCTTTGCTCTTTCCCGATCCGTTGCCATTAAACCTAAAATTGCACTATGATGAACTTTTTTTTTTTTTAATCAATATGATAATGACAATTGGGCCTGAACACTCTGGTAGGACTTAGACTACAGCTGAATCTGGCTTCCATCACCAAAACAACTTCTGGTCCTATGATAGTCTGCCTCCTTTTGTGTGGCTTTAATACCTTTTCTTCCCTGACACTGAATATTGCTCAAGCTGGAAAATGATGCATCTTTGTAGGGAAGGCTCATATGTCACAGCCAGAAAGTGAAGCAGACCGATTGGTTGTGTGAATTATCTGACTTGCTGCAGTGAATTATTTGCACTGTTTCCCTACCTAGTCAACAAGTTCCTGAGGTATAGTAGAGATCAATCAAAACTGACAGTCCGCATGTGAAGGCTTTACTGTGTAAATCTGGCACACTCATCCTGGCCATGCCGGCCCTGGCATCTGTATATCATTTTTATACTGCTACCAGTAGAGCAATTTCAAAAGTATTTGCAAGGAAAATGCGTGTCCCCATCTGTTCCTAGAAGCATAAATGTGCCACCTTCAGAGGATTTTCACTGGTAATCATATCTTTAATGATCAACAGACTAGTGATATATATTTTTCCATAAAATGGGGTTTTCTTCACTTTATTGTGATTGGCTAGAATAAATAGCTTTTCCATATGTTAGGGAGATAAAATATAAGATTAGCAGAGGTGGTTTGTTGGATAGTAAACAAAAGAAACAATTCATTCCAAATAATCTTTGAAAAGAAGCAATGACAAAATTAAGTTGCAATAACAAAGCATCTGAGTCCCCACATCAGAAAACAGACCTTGTTCCTCCTTGGAAAAGGAGCCATTTAAGAGCAGAAAGTTAAGAGACTTCTAGAGGACTCTGGTGGCTTATTTTCATTGAGGCAGGGGAGGGAAGGAGCAGGGTAAGAAGGAGAGGCTAGAATAATACTTATTTGTTCTACTTCTAAGGTCATATTTCCTATCCCTTTATTTTTAAAATTTCTCAAATTCCCTTCCCTTTATTTTACCTGCTATTTTCCCGTCTTCACTGCAGCACCCTTGGTAAGTTGGTGGGTGGTATGTTCAGAAAGTAGGAAATGGCAGCCCTGCTGAATTTCTCTTCAGGCCTACAAGGAGATGGGGATTTTTCATGTGCTTAAAAAATCAAAAGGCTGGCTCCCTCCCTGGTAGATTTCTCTTCTCCCATAGAAAAGGGTGACTTTGGAGAGCCAGGCACAGTACCTGTGTTTAAGTGAAATTCCAGAGCCATGCAGAAGGTACCTGAAGATAGCCAAGACCCACCAGAAAACCCCCAGGAAGTGTTCTTAGCAATCTAATCCCACCTGTATAGGTTACAGTCCAAAGATACAACCAGGCCCTGATCTGCCTCCCCCCACACACCCATGCATATATTCACACTCAGCACCCAAGAGGTCCTCCCTTTTCAAATGCAGACACTCTTAGTTCTGTAGACACTGTTAGCTCTTGGGGGAAATTTGGAAACTTCTTCTTCAGGATCTCTGTGTAGAGATTTCCACTGCCTGCTCAGGAATCTCCAATTCTATTTTGTTTCCAGGGTTGGGACTCTCCTGTTCCACAAAGGACTGACAGTTGTAAGATGCCTGAATCTGTCTAAACAATGTCTTCAGCCTTCAGGCTCTCCAGAAAATAGGTGTAGAGCTGTTCAGACCTGTTTTCTATAAGTCAAGAATTGAGAATGAGAAGTTGGTGTGGGGGGTTTCCCTCTAAACATTGAAAATAAGACCAATAGTAGGTTAAGTGTTGATTCTTTATTGTTATTTTTCCCCCCTTGGGATAGTGGGGGGAAAACTCTATCTTTTCTGTATGTGTTACCCACTCCATCCCCATAGTCCATAGAAATTTTTTTGCTCTTTCTGAATGCATACTGTTCTCACTGCAGCAGGAATGTATGGTATTAGTTTGAAAATTTGAAATGTGGTCCTTAGCCTGGTCCCAAGCAGAAAGTCTACTAGCATCTTAGACCTAACTTGTGTTAACTTCCTGGCCCCAGTGAGGCTTGGGAATGCTGACAGAAGTAGAAAAATAGCTCACCCAAGTCTCTGGCCAGAAGAAGATCAAAAAACCACCATCAAAAGGTTTTCTTTTAAAATTTCCCCTTAATTGTAGAAACATAATCTTGTAGGCTAGGTTGCACATAGGCAGGCATAGACTGTATAGGATTTACAGGTAGATCACATTTTGCCTGATCTGAAACCAGATTTGCTGTAGTATTGCAATTAAGACTAAAAGAAAGGGAAGTCACGCTTGTAGTTGCCACACTGTATTGTGATTACACTGCAGCTCTGCAGTCTTGAATGAATTTGCTTGCCACAAGGAAATTCTGGCATGTGTTGTATATGAAACAATTTACACTCAATTCAAAAAATTGAATTTCCTGATTTCTATGTATTTTAGTTTGAGACCCATTTTGCATTGAATTTTTCTATGTTGTTTTCATAAAATGAAATAAAAAAAACAACTGATTTTATGTGGGAGAAATAAATGTGTAATATTTGCTCCTTTCATTGTCCAGGAGGACGAGGCTGTTACTACTACAGGTGGGACATTTCCCACTCCTTCCTCCTGTGCCCAGGGGTCCTGTCTAAGCCACAGGCCTCCGCCAGGAATGTTGCTGTCCACACCGAGTAGAAGACCGTGCAGAGCTTACCTTTGGGGCTCGTGTTGGCTGGGGCTCTGAGCCATAGAACTGCAGGCATCCAAGTTTTTCCTAAACCCCAGATTGGAGCCGTTTGCAACACATAGTCCTTTGCTGCTTCAGAACCACAGACCCGCTACACATTCATATCCATAGCAGAGATGGAAGTCTTGGCAACTATAGGACAAGTATTAAAATTTGAAAAACAAATATACTGAGTTCAGGATGAAAATTACCTGCAGCAACAATGCTGTCTCTTTCCCTGCACAGCTTCACTGCCACCAAGCAGCCTCATCAGTTTAGGCTTATTTCACTGAACATGTACTTATTTCCAGAAAAACTACTAGCTATCTATATGTAACTATTATTTGTTAGTCAATTTTATTACAACCCTCCTACCTTAGAAGAAAATACTGAACCTAAACTCTAATTCAGATATTTGAAAACATATAATAAAGTGTTAATTTGCATATAATCTCTCATGACTGTAATATGCATAGTATTTGTTTTTTTAGATAAAAGGGTGGGCAGGCAGTGTGGTGTGTTGAAAAGAGATTCAGATTTTAAAAGTAAGCTTAAGGAAATGCCTGTTTTAAGGAAAATAAACTTAACTGATCGTTAAGACAAAGTGAACTATTAAAATTTAGTGTCAGTTAACAATCTTTATGTTAAATTACTGATAAAATGCCAAGGTGTTTGAAGTTATCAGAAAATGGGGCGCCTGGGTGGCTCAGTCATTAAGTGTCTGCCTTCGGCTCAGGTCATGATCCCAGGATCCTGGGATCAAGCCCAACATCAGGCTCCCTGCTTGGTGGGAAGCCTGCTTCTCCCTCTCCCACTCCCCCTGCTTGTGTTCCCTCTCTCGCTGTGTCTCTGTCAGATAAATAAATAAAATCTTGAAAAATAAAGTTACCAGAAAATGAAAAATTTGGAGAAATTGAAGTTTCTTTTTTGTTCTCCCTTACTCTGAACAGCATGCTAGTAATACCGTCACTCTTGGCTTTTATTAGGAATTTTCATCTCGTTCCAGAAGGAAATACCAGAAAAGCAACTTGTATAGTTAATAGCCTCAGTCTAAAGAACATTATTTCTAGGCAGAATTTCTACAGTCACCCTTGTCTGTGAACACTTGTTAGGAGATGTGTTTTAATTTTAGGTCAGAACAACTGGGTTAAGGTGTGGAGAAGACACTGAGTTTTCCCTATGGGGGAAGAGGGAGGAGAAAGGAAGCTAAATTAGTTTTACTGCTCTGCAAAAGGACTACTCCAGGCAGCAGTGGTAGGGAAATTTGGATTTCTAAGCAGTGCTCTTCTGCCAGTCCATTTCTTAACACTCTTGGAGCCATTCACCTTTGGAGCAGGTTGCAGGTGGAGGCCCCACGCGAAAGGCTAGGGCTGCTGTGGGCGGCGTGTCTGCGGTGCATCCCTCCCTCTCCTCTGCATATACTCCTCTCTGTCGCTTTTTGCCCAGACTTAACGTACCTTCTTCCTGGATTCCCCTCCCCCACCCCAACGCAAACGCCTA